CTTTGTGTGAACGTGGAAGATGCGCCAGGCTTCGTAATGTTTTGCCAGCCCGAGGTGTAGACCCCACTGTGCACATTACGAAAATCTCCCTGCGCGTCAGTGTGTGGGCGGTACTGTACCATACACCCAAAAACTCTTAACATTTTTGTGTTGCCCAGCTTCCCAGTCCACAACAGGTGCGGAGATGCGTTGTTGGGCAGTGAAGACGAGGACAGCAAGTTGTGCAGGAGGACAGCGTGGTCCATCGCTGCTGGCCATTCTGAGTTGGGCAGTCGAGTTCCACATAGCAGCTTTCGCATGGTTGTCTGCAGGGTCCTGTTCATCCTTTCTGCCACACCCTGCTGTTGGTGAGCGTAAGGAAGAGAGATGAGGCGTTTGATGCCTCTTTCTGCCAAGAACTGCGTGAAGTGGTTTGACTGGTACTCCTTTGCGTCATCTGACTGAAAACTCTTCAGTTTCGCTCCCGACTCTCTTTCAGCGACAGGTAGCCAAGCTGTGAAGGCTTCTAGAGCCATGTCTCGTGACGGTAAGTTGACGTGCCAGACATATCGCGTTGCGGCGTCGATGAAGGTGATGACGTAGTTCAGATCTTCACGTCCTTCAGTTCGAGGTATGTAGAGGATGTCGCTGTAGACTTTCTCGAGTGGTTGATAAACGGGGGCGCTCGGGTTGTGATGTGACGGGAATGGTCGGTGAGGCAGATCTGCTTCCGGGCAGATGAAGCAAGTGCCGCGTGGTCGTTCGAGTTCACGTCCGTTGGGAAGAAGTAGGGCATTCTTGTCTAACACTCCGGCTCATATTGTGTTGTAAAGTGTTTTGTTTCCAGGATGTCCGAGACGTTGATGCCAGATGTCTTCGGAGGCGCTGTGACCGACGGAGCGTTGATAGAAGTCTGCGTTAGCGAAAAAGGCGGCGTGTGTTGCTGCACTTCGATGAACGGCGCGTGGTGCTGGCGTTAACTATTGGGCGGCTGTCGGTGGCGTGTCGATGATGAGAGGTGGTGGTGCGACGGAGGGACCGGGCTGTGGAGTTTCGGAAGGTTGTTCCGCGACGACGGTTGGTTCTTCAACTGCAAGTTCGGTGGTTGTTGGTGCTGTGACGGGTGCAGTTGTTGTTTCGATGACGGGTGCTGACTCAGGTGTTGTTGCTTGTGTTTGCAGGACGGCAAGCGCGTTGGTGCGTTCAGCTTCGGGAATGGTACGAGAGTACCAGAAGCCTTCAGTACTGAAGTTCGGGTCGAGGTCTGGCGGATGCGTCCAAGGTGCGAGAGCGACTATGTCGTCGCTGTCTGCGGTGCCTTTGTCGGGGACGAAATCGAGGACGAACACGTCGTCTTGTTGGATTGCGCGGCCGATGAAGACCCCCCCTTTTCCGTGGTAAAGACGGATTTCCAGGGCGTCGGAGTCGCACTCCAGGTGAACGCCTTTCGACATGAGTTGGCTGACGCTCAATAAGTTGAAGCCAAGGTTGTCAGCGACGAGTACTTTGTTTAGTTGAAGGATAACGTTTGTTTCGTTTGACTGAAGCTCCACGACTCCTTGTTTGTTGGTGCGCAGGTTTTCTTTGTTGGCGACGGTGATGATGAAGTCTCGCGGAAGACGTCGTTCGCGCTGAAGAAATCGTGATGAAGAGCACATGTGATGACCGCAACAGTTGTCGAGGAACCATGTGTTTGGTCCGGTGGGTGCACTGTTTGCGATGGCGACGTACGTTGGATTCACGTTAAGGGACGACGGTGGTGGTGACAGTTGCTCATCAGGACTATAAGTCGGTGGTGAGCCGGTAATACACGAGTCGATGTTTGACTCTGTTGTTCGTGTCATGGCGACGATTCTTGATGTCTGTGCAGGTCCCGAAGTGGAAGTTGACGGTCGCGTTGAAGTAGTCGTTGAGGCGGTAGCGGGTCGTTGTTGAGTTGACGCGATGTGGGGAGGCGCGGGTCGCAGAGGACGAGAGAATGGTGCTGGTTGTCGTTGTTGCTGAGGGCAGTTGAAGCGTGTGTGTCCTGAAGTCCGACACAGATGACAATAAGGAGGTACGTGTCCTCGGTTTTGGTAACGTGGCTGTCGTCGATTGGTGTAAAGAACAACTGGTTGATGATGCCTTTTGTTGTTGCGTTCTTCGAACATGTCCATTTCCTGCTGCTCGGCGTGAAGTTCGGCGCAGAGATGCATTTCAGAGAGTCGACCGTGAGAGCGAAGAAGTGAATGGGTGGTGCGCCATTGAGGTCCAAGGCCGGCAAGAACGACGGTTACGAAAGCTTCTTCAGATAAGTTTCCTCCGCAGCGAATAAGTCTGTCGCGTAGTCCTTGACACCGACTGATGTAAGGCATGGCCTTTTCTCCAGGTTGCATTTGAACTGTTGTCAGTTGTGCCATGAGTCGGCTTTGTGTAACGCTGTCGGATGCTTGATGAATGCTTCGCAGATGTTGATAGGCGAGTTCCGCGGAGTTTGCGGAGTTCCGGTAGGCGCGGATGCTTTGTTGTTTGTTCGGCGACACGTTTCGGAGAAGAACGGTGTAAGCCATCAGGGAGTGATACGTATAATTTTCTTTGTCTTTGTCTTCGCCGTTGTGTGGATATGGCCAGGTACCGTTGAAGAATCCAAGAAGATTCGCGCCTTCCATCAGGAGTTCAAACTCGAAGCTCCAAGAGTAGAAGTCCTTCCCGTTGAATGGTGTGGATGTGTGCAGTCGCAGGATGTTGTTGAACTGTGCTTGTACTTGCAGGACTTCTTCGGTGTCTCGTTTGATGGCGGGAAGAGGGGTCGCTGGATGGCGAGGCGACATGAACGTGAAGGAACCAGGTGAGACCGAATTTGGTGTTTGTTGATTATGTCGTCCGAACGATGAGTTGTCAATACTCATTGGTGCCGCTCCGTTGTTTACGCTGTTGCTGTTTGCAAGTTGTGAGGACTGCTGGTGCGACATGAAGTTGAAGAACTCCTCCATTAAGCTTGGGTTGAAGATTGTTGGCGGCGCTACTGGCGCTTGAGTAGAACGTTCCGTCGCTTCCGGCGTTAATCCGGGCGTTGTTCCTCCTTCGGTCTGCAACTCGGAGACCGGGGGTAGAGTAGATCCCGTGGATGATCTTCTTTCTTTGCCACTTGCCATGTCTTGCCTTTCTTGAATGAAGATTGAACTTCTTGGTTGCTTGCAGATCGGTAGCCTGGAAGAGGCTTAGTGACGAGAGCCTTTGTTCTCTGACTGCTCTCATACCATGTTGGGCTGAGGATTTCAGCCTTAGGATCTTTGCAGAGAATAGGCTAGTAGGTGCTAGAGTAGCACAGCGGAAGACTTGAGTGAATGTACTTGTGCTAGTATATGAGAACAAGTAATTGATTAAAGCAAAGAGCATACAGGAATATATAGAAAAGATAGATTACAGGAAGCGGTTATGTTTATCGAGACGCGTAACGCTTCGACTATCGAGGCGGTTACTGTTCACTGAAGCGTTGCCTGCTGTTGCGTAACCTCCAGGCGGTTACGGCTCGCAACTTCCACTTGCGGTTTGATGTGGTACGTGCCTTTTCGACTTCATACTCCTTTTGTTGTGCTTCAGTATCGGGTGAGGTTCGATACTACAGAAACGCACTAAGTCAAGCATTTATATTCCCAACAGAGGTTGAGCAACTGCTAGAGGTTACGCGAAAGTCAAAGGTCAGCGACCTTTGACCTGACAAGTACAGCGCGACAGCAAGGACAAACAACTGACTCGCTATTGAGCAGTTGCCCGGGTCGTCACTGTATCGAACCGCAACAGCAACAGCAAAACAATTATTAGTTATAACCTTTCATATTGAGAAAGCTTGCTTTCTTATTCTTATCAATTGGCATCGTTCTCATTACAAATGGCTTATTACAACATTTGCATCAACGTTGAACACAAGCTAGTGCAATCGCATAACACTAGCTAAGATGTACCCTATCCAAGTGGCATTAGCAAGGCGGTTTACTCTAGGGTGGGTGGTGGGAATGTTGAGTGAGCCGTTGGAAAATCGAGAAGCGTGGGTGGAGAGAAATGAACTCCAACCCACGGTTTTTGTAGTTGGAGAAGGGCGTTTAGCGCGCTTCGACGATGCCAATTGTGCAGTACAAGCAGCTTCGCTTTCACAATATACAATTTAAAAAAAACACAATGTGTGTTTAAAAATTATAATATTAGTTTGTACTCTTATAAATGGCTTGTACCTCTTTGTTTTAATCAATCTACTTTGCCCTCACATACCAGTGCAAGGTGGTTCACAACCTTTCATTTAACGCATCCGCTATTATATCAGTCCTACCAGGAGTTTAGTCTTGCAAAGGTCCTAGGGCTTTTTCAGCCCAACACTGCTAACGGGGCTTCGCCGACTTCGCGCGTGTTGTTTCACCAAACCTCGCACTGCTGGCTCGGCCGTGTTGGCCTATGCTTCGGGACTAGCCCGAGCCTCGCTGCCAGCGTAGCACTATCTAGCTCGCACGCACCATGTTACCGTTTGCATGTTACGCGTATAAATGTTCGCTCATGCCTTCGCTCACATTTTGTACTTGTTTGACACCTTAGTGCAATTCTAGCTACTTCGATTCATTGCACTCCGTAACAACCCAATGTAAATATCATAACCTGGCCATATATACACATACGGTAATACATAGCTCGCTGGCAACCCAATTGCCAACTCTCTACTCGTCCACGATAGAATCATTCCTGCGAAAGCATTGCATAGCGTTGAGGATGATATAAAACACAATTATAAATGGCAATGCTGATGTGACGAGGAGACCCGGTTTTAGTAAGCATCAAGGCACTGGGCAGCAGTGCAAGCACACTGGCTGATGGGACGAGGAGACGACCGCAACATCAAGGCACTAGGCAGCAGTGCAAGCATGCTGGCAGTCAGGCACTGGGTGGCGGTCAGGCAGCAGGTACAGGCCGTGTCCGCGACAGCAGGAACGTCCACAATTGCCCTGATCCACCACTTCCCAACCCTGCATCCGTCTCAGGCCACAGTGTGCTGCTCACAGCCCTGTGTCTGCTGAGCTGCTGGGATCTGTGTGGCAGACTGTGGGGCTGCTCAGGGCTGACTGTGACCGCGAGTGTGAGGGGGACCGAGGGCTGTCAAGCACCCTTGGGTCGGAGACGAGCTGTGGGCTGCTGTGCGGAGCAGTGAGGGCCTTTTGACTGCAGATGGCCCTTGGACTAGCAAGACATATGGACTCGCCTGCTCCCCTCTGCCGCCCCGTGCCACACCTGCCAGCTGTTGGGCTGTCAAGTGGGGAGTGATGGAGGTGGGAGAAACTGGAGGAATGTGTGCGGTGGTGGACAGGGGAGAGGGGCGAGCGGGTGGGGGCAGCGGTGGCAGTGCAGCGTGCGGAGTACGCCCTGCGTGGAACGGCGAGCCCTGGATCCTCACCTTCCTCCTGCTCCTGCTGCTGCTGCCACGGCTGGACGAGGGTATGTGTGGGTGCTGCAGCGGGGTTGCACACGGGTGGAGGAAGCATCACACAGCTCCCCCCAGAGGCACACCCCAATCGTGGAGAGGGGGTCGGGCTGTGACTGTATCGAGTGTGATCATGTATGCGTTCAGGCGGCTGTGCCCTGCTGAACCCCCTCACATCGCCTGAAACATCGACCCCCTCCCCCCTCACAGTGCCTCCTCCTACCCGCTCCCTGGAAGTGCATGTTGCTGCTACTCCCCCAGGACCAATGTGGCACTTCAACTGTGCGGAGGCGGCGCTGGGCGGTGCCTGACTGTGCGGTGTGGGGCTGGGAGGCGCCTGACTGTGCGGTGTGGGGCTGGGAGGCGCCAGGGCGCGAGCCACCAGGCGCCACATGGGCACGTCTGCCTCTTCCATAGGCATTCCGTCGTGGACACGCTGCCACATGGCAGCATCTGATTGGCCGCCACAAGATGCCCGCCGTTGCGGCTGCCTGTTTCTCAAGATCACATTCCGTCCTTGCAGCAACCGCTCCCCTCTCCCCACTTTCTGTGTTCCCCACTCTTCCTCCCCTTCTTCCGCCCCCTCACCCTCCCTCATCTCCCTGTCCCCTCTCACCTCCGACACCCACTTCCCTCGCCACCCCATCACCTCACACTCCTGCCCCCTGCACCCACCCTCGCCTCTCCCCCAATTCCGGAGCGGCTGCTCCGCGAGCAGGCGTGCTGGCGGGCAGCTACGGGGCGCGGGATGGGTGGGGGAGCGGGGGAAGGTGAGGGGCAGAAGGGGGAAGGGCAAGCGGGTATGGTGGGCGGCGGAGGGGGAGAGCTTTGGTTGCAGTTGCGAGGGCGGGCGGTGGAAGCTGCGCGCGCGGGCAAGGTCGGCCGCCTCTTGCGCCATTGGCGCATCAGACTCGCGGCGGCGGGCGGGCGGATGGTGGAAGCTCGCCGCGCGGGGAAGGTCCGCCTGGTCGTGGGAGGCGTACTGCGCAGTGCGCTCGGGAATGCAGGGACGCGGAGACGAGTGCGCGCTGGGCGCGCGCGGACGGGACGCCTGGAGCAGGCGCGGAGATGCGGAGGCGGAGGGAGGAGGGGAAGGGGCGGTATGTGCAGAGCGCGGGTGTGAAAGCCTCGGGGATTCAGCGCAGGTGGAGGCGAGCGGGAGTGCGGACGGGCTGGCAGCAGCAACGGAAGGAGCGGGTGGGGAGGAGGCGAATGAGGAAGGCGAGGAAGCACCGGAGTCAGCAGACGCGGCGGGCGAAACAGCAGCCGCGGCAGAAAGGTCATTGACTGCCTGCGCGGCCCTGACGGCAGCATGGGTGGCGGCGGTACCACGGCAGGTGTGGGCGGCGCACTGGGAGGGCAGGATGAGCGACGGCGGGCGTGGCCCGCGCATCTGCATGCCTTGGGCTCCCCCTCCTGCTGCTGTTGAGGCGGCAGGGCGAACGCGAGCGAGCGGGCCACGGCTGGCGGGAGCGCCGGCGTGACCGCCGGAATGGACAGCACTTGCCTCAGGGGTACCTTGGAATGCCGCCCGCTCGGGGTGCGAAGAATCGGGGTGCGCTGACGCACGAATTGCGCTCAGAACGTTCGGCGCGACGAGATTCGGCGGACCTTGCGCCTTGGAGGAAGTTGGCGCGTCGCCGCGTGGAGAGCCAACCAGCGCGGCGTCGCGCTGCAGGCGAGTCGGCGGCACGGCGCCACGTCGACACCCGGAAAACGCGCGCCGTTGGCTCTCCATCGCGTGCCCATTGCCGGGAGCAGCTCCATGCGCAGCGCCAGTTGGTAACCGCGGCGATGGAGTTTTTGGCGAAAAGGCTGGCGAAGAACCATGAGGCGAAATGTTTCTACCAGGCGAGAAAACCCTGGGCGAGAAGGTGGGCGAAAGATCGCCGTCGCAGGTGCTCGGCGTGGCGGGGAACGAGAACCCGTCCCAAGAATTCGACGCCGCTTCAGCTTCGCCCCCCCCTTCTGCTGCGAGTGTGACTAAAGCGGGGTCAACGGTGAGCGAGGGAGGGCCAGACGCTCGCGACTCGAGCACGGACGGACGGATGGGCGCCGGCGTGCCATGCCGCGAGCCTAGGACCTGGCGACGATGCTTCTGATGTCGACGATCCCTGACGACGGATTCGGGCGACTGAGACGGCACCTGGTCCTTGGGACTGACCGCGTGCATGCACTCCCTTTGCGCGGGCTGGGAAGATAACGAAGGTTGGATAAGATCCATAGAGAGCTCCTAATCGCGATAGGACGATCGAATCTGGATGCATCCTCCAACTCTTGACTACGGGGGCGTGAAACATGCGGAAGGACGCTGATGTTGCAGATTGCTGCTCTTTGCGAGAAGGGTGCAAGTCTGCTCCTTGTGTGCGGTTGCGGTACCTAGGCAGCGAGGCCGACAGTATGGCAAGATGGCTGGCAGTTTGCCTTGTGAGCTGCACGCCATGTGCCCACCGCCGCACCACACGGCAGTAGCTGGATTCCATGGGCTGGGATGCGGGCGAAGGGGGGTGGGTGCTGCTCACCGCTCGTGCGTGACTGCCCTCTGGGCTGGGCGGTCACATCACATAAAATCCGAATTCCAGTGCGCGTGATCTCACCGTCCGCAGAGCAGCACACTGCGATGTTGACGGCCAGGATGATCGGAGCAAGCTAGCCCAATGCGAGGTGAAGCTTGTTAGGTTTGGGGATGACCAGGCAGGGGAGGGGGCGGTAAGGATGCATCCCAGCCACAGGGCGAGCGGAACTCTGCGTGGCTGAAAGCAGAGCAAGGGCGTGACTCGCTGACCTGGCGGCGGGAGTGTCAGGTTCTGAATGGTTCGTACGTAAGATTGACGTGGCAAACAAAAAGTTTGACGGAAAGACAACACAACGCGCCGAGCCTGGCTGGGATGGAAAAATATATACGACATGCAAAGAGGAATGCTCTTGAAAATACAGTGCACGTTCTATAAAGGAGCATCGCTGGTGAACTGAGAACATATACAGTGTCGATAGAGATACGTACTCCACTTGCAAAACAGAGTAGCTTTGATGACTAGTAGGCTGGAAACTTGGCTGGAAAAGCTCAACAGAGCTGCTGGACTTGGCTTGATGAGAGAAAACTTCACTATGATCAAGATTAACAAGCCCACTAAAGCACAACTTCTTAAACATTACAAACATGCAGATTGATAGCTCAAACTAGGCTGCTAGACAAGGCAACTTCCTTGGGAACTTGGGCACAATTCAGATTCCATGAACCTTGAGTGACTTGAGAGCCACATGAGGTGCATAAATAAAAAATCTCTGGAATGTACTGTTATAGCTGATTCTGTTTTGTAGAAACCAGTAGAAACTATCGACCCTTCTGTTTGAGAGCAATCCCGAACTGTATCGAGTCTTCGTCTGCAATCTGATTTGCTGCGGAATTTTCTGAATTTTCGCGAAGTCTTCAGACTTCATTCCGTCGCCGACATTCTTGCTGCTCCTTGTGTGCAAAGGGCTGGGGCGGCAGGGACTCGATTCTCCAACACTCCCCCTCGCACCAGACCCGAAGCACACATACGCCCATTCTTACTCTCCTCTTACATCTCCTTGGCATACACTCCATGCTGCTGCCCATGTTGCTTCTCCTCATTCTCCTCAAACTGCTGCACTGCTTCATGAAGTGTCATGAGACCTGCTCTTGCCTTGCATATGTTGAATGCATCATGTGGAAGAACCTTAGTCATGAAATCTGCCGCTTGGTCGAATGAACGGCAAAAGTTGACGGCGAGAACTCCCTTCTCTAGTTGCTCACGAATGAAATGGTATTGCACCTCGATGTGTTTTGTACGCCCATGATGAACCGGATTCTTGGAGAGGGCGATAGCTGAAGTGTTGTCCACGTAGAGCGGAGTTGGTTGAGTTTGCGGCTGCCTCAAGTCCTCCAAGAGTCCACGTAACCAAATTGCCTCCCTTGCTCCTTCGATCATTGCTATGTACTCAGCTTCGGTTGTAGAAAGCGCCACACAACTTTGCTTGCGCGATTGCCAAGAAACAGCGGCACCGCACATAAGGAAGATATAGCCACCGGTGGACTTGCGTGTGCTCAAATCTCCCGCCCAATCTGCATCGGTAAAGCCTTGGAGGGAGCTTGCATGTGGGCTGGCTTGGAAGAGAAGACCATGATTTGAAGTACCTTTGAGATACCGAAGAGCTCGCTTGGCTGCATGCATATGGATAGGTGATGGGGCACTCCTGTGTTGAGCGAGCTTGGATACCGTGAATGCTAGGTCGGGCCTTGTGCATAGGGCTGCATACATGAGACACCCAACCTGACTTTGGTAGAGAGCTAGGTCTTGTGGGGATACCTTGGGTGAATTCTCACCATGATGCTCACTCTCCTCAAGACACAACTCCTCAATACCCGTGATATCCAGGCTTGACTCTCTCTCCTCAAAGGGCTGATGTGAAGACAAAGGGACAAAGTTGGTAGGAAGTGGGGTAGGTGATGGCTTGCTATCATCAAGACCAAACCTCTCAAGGACCTTTTGGATGTACCTTTGCTGGAAAGGAAGATGGACCGTGACTTATGATCTCTCACAATGTTCATACCAAGATCGGTCATTGTGAATGCACTCATGAGAATACCTTTCACCTTGTTGAGGAGATCAAGAGAACCTGAGACTAGGAGGAGATCATCGACATATACCAAGAGCCAAATGTACTCCCCCTCACTCGTGTGCATGAAGTACAACGCGTTGTCTCTCATGGACCTTGTGAAACCGTGCTTGAAGAGTACCTTCTCAAGAGCATGATACCATACCCGTGGGGACTGTTTGAGACCATAAAGGGACTTTACCAAGCGACAAACTCGACCCGTACCATCATCATAACCTTCGGGCTGTGCCATGTATACCTCTTCTTCCAAGACACCGTAGAGAAATGCGTTTTTGACATCCATTTGATGGATATGGAGACCAAGATATGCGGCTATGGCGAGGAGGACTCGTACCGTGGTGTACTTCGCTACTGCGGCAAAGGTTTCGGTGAAGTCTAGACCTGGAATTTGGGAATAACCTTTTGCCACTAACCTTGCCTTGTACCTATCAAGTGTACCATCACCTTTTACCTTAATCTTGTACACCCACTTGACACCAATTACCTTCTTCCCTGGAGGTGGCTCAACAAGACGCCATGTACCTCTCTTCATGAGACTCTCAATCTCTTCTTCCTCGGCCTTCAACCATTGCTCTCTCTCGGGACTTGCCACTGCCTCACGACGACTCAATGGCTCTCGTGGAAGGTGTGACGCTACCATGCATATTGCCTCTACCTTCTTGTGAATGCAATCCTCGCTCTCCTCACATGTGCACCTTGATGACATGTCAACCATGAATGTGAAGGGCTTTTTTACCTTGCGGACTCGTTTACCTTTACCCAAAGCCTCACTTGGCTGAGACAAATCAATGGTAGGGTTCGGTCTCACAGTGGTTGGATGCGTTGACACGGTGATCTGCGGCTGAGACAATGGCTGCGACATCGGCTGCGACGGCGGCACGACTGCATGATCTTCTCCCGGCGTGGAACCCTCTCGATTATCGGTGTTGACTTGAGGAATAGGTGTGGTGACTTGTGTCGGTGAAGCTGAAATGTTCGTCGGCATAGTTGGCTATGAAGATTCTCTTGGTGGGGATCTTGAGACTAGAAGCTTGGGAATTGATGATGACGCTGCGTTGTCGAAAGTTGGAGACGGTTCGGTCTGATTGGCGCTGGTTCTCGGTGTTGAAGATGGCGGTAACTGATGACGGCCGATTCCGGGACGTGGGGGTGAAGTTGAGAAAGGTCTTGGGTGAAGAAGTGGGCTGTTGGAGCGGGTGTTGTTGGTGATTCGCTGAAGTGATCCTCGTGCTATGAGCTGGCTTGACGTTGGAACCTGAAGTGATGAACGTGTGTGAGAACGAGATGTTGCGGTAATGGTTGTCTTGTTGGTAGGAAGAATTGTAGATGGCGCTGATGTAGGTACTTGGAGTCTTGTGTGAAAGAAAGAACGAGAATAAGTGCAGCATGAAATGAAGTGAGTACAAATATGAAACCCTAATTGGGTTGTACCCCCTATGGGATACCCCACTATAGCCTACATAAAAGAGTAAGCTATAATGTTCTGACACACCCCCATAGGCAAAGTGGGGGAGAACAAGGGGTCACAAGACCAGTCAAGCAAAACAAAGCAAAGCTCAGGGTGGATCATAATGTCACCACACATTCCGAGCACAAGTTCAAGGGCCACAAGGCCAATTCACATGCAAGATCATATATAAAGATATACAAGAGTCAAGCAAGTAAGAGCAAGAGTATATATAGGTCAAGGTACAAGCAAAGTCAAGAAGTGAGCAAGTGAGGCAAGAAAGGCACAAGACCCAGCTGCGTGCAGCAACGCTGATGATCACAAGGCGCAAGTGCCTTGGTGAAGACATCAGCAGTGTTGGCCTCAGAGGCCACGTACGCAAGTCGCAAATGTCCACGCTGCTGTAGCTCACGAGCAAGAAAGTAGCGGAGAGCAATTTGCTTTGTCCTGTGCTCCAGTCGCTGCTCTCGACACAAGGCCAGCATGGCCTTGTTGTCTACGTATAGGACTGGAGGAGAACGAGGCGGCTCTCCAAGGTCGGACAGCAGGTAGGTGAGCCAGCGTAACTCCTGTGCAGCCATAGCCCCGGCGTAGATCTCAGCCTCACTACTGGAGCCGAGAACAGAAGACGAGCGGGTAGCCCGCCACGAAACAGAGCCGGAACCAAGGCTGAAGGTGTAACCCTGTGACGACCGCTGCGTAGCCTGGTCGTCAGCCCAAGAAGCGTCCGCGTGCCCAGTGAGGACCACTGGACTCCGCCCTCCAAGCACTAGCCCCATGCCCGACGTACTGCACAAGTAGCGCAACACCCTCTTCGCTGCAGCCATGTGCTCTGGTCGGTGTCTCCCAGGAGCAACATAGCGTGCGAGAATGCTAAGAGGGTATGCAAGGTCAGGTCGTGTGCAGGTCATCAGGTACATGAGGCAGCCAACAAGCTCTGCATACGGGCCACTTGACTCTACGGACTCATCCGAAGGCAGAGCTGAGAGCGAGTGGCGAGTAGACAGAGGAGTGGCCTGAGGCGAGGAGTACGTGAAGCCGAAGCGCTGATGGACCTGCTGCACCATGTGTGACTGAGTCAGGGTAATGGTGCGGCGTGCTCTGTCCCGGGTGATCTGCAAGCCAAGGTAGCTGCG